GGACGTGCGTTCTGGGATTCCCTTGTCATATGCACGCGCCCTTCTCCTTGGGAAACGTTACAGGAAACGGAAGCTGAAATGCCCCCTCTCCAAGCCCAATCGTCTCCCCTACCTGGACTCCCAAGGCTGAGAGAGGTCACCCATGGAGCCCCAGGCCAGGTGAGGGACATCCATGGTGCCCATGGGCAGAGAAAGCCAGAGACAACCTTCCCAGGAGGTAGAGATGGAGGATTCCTTCCCCACCCCTGCGATGTAGACACCCTGCAAAGGGGTGAGCCAGAAGGCCCTTCAGAGATACCTCGCCAAAAAGGAGACCAGAGATCCCTCCCCAGAGACACCTTCCAAAAGGAAGAGATAATGATCCACCTGCATGGACGACCCCAAAAAGGAGAGACACTTTGTGGGAGAGAGATCTCTCCCATCCCAGACATACGCCCCCAAAGACAGGAAAAATGGGAAATTCTTCCAAGCGAAGACAGACGGAGATTCCCCCTTCTAGCTGTAGAAAGTAACCTAGTCCCTACCCCTTTACCTAGGAAGATAATGAGAGAGATGGAGATCCTTCATGTCACCTCACACAGAGAGATATTCACCCACGTCAGCAGCCCCACCTTCCACTTCCACCCGGAGAGATTCCCCTCGAGAAACTGGGGGGAGGGGGGAATTTAGACTCCTCCCTCTGCTTCCACAGTGGCAGAAACAGCCCCTCTCCCCCGCTCCCCTCCCATATAGGAAAAAGTCCCATACACTCTCTCAGTTTTTTTTTTTTTAATTAAAAGGGCCGTCCCTTGACTCACTTCTTAAAGAGGCCTGTTCATTGAACTGGTGTTGCCTCACTCAAAGTGAGAAGCTGGAAAGACTTAAGCTTTAAAGGGCCAGGGTCTTTCATCCTGATCTGTGCTGATCCATATCGGGCTGCTGGATCCAGATGGCTCTGGAGGAGAAAGTGAGGCTGGTGACTTTGCACAGCCCCCCCCCCATCAAAGTCAACTGCAGGTCAAGTCATCACCTCCCTGGTGTCACAGTCCTCTTCGAGAATGAAGGACAAACTGTACAACCTGGTAGCCCTTCGGCATCAGGCAGATCCCAGTTTCTTAGATTTAGAGCTGGAAGCGACCACAGAGGTTGTCAAATTGTTTTACATGTGGAAACCGAGGCAGATTAAGGTTGAGCAACTTGCGCCAGACCTTCTTGGGTCACCCGGCTCTCATCTACTGCACCAGTGAAGCCAGGACTTTTCAGTTTCTTGCAGGCCATTCATTCCTCTCTCCTCCTCCTGCTACATCCTAGGCCCATTCATTGGCTTCCAGTGGTGCCTGGCCAAGGTTCACTGCCAGCATTAAGGACATCTGGCCAACCACAGAGCCTAGTCTTGACTTGAAGCCTTCACAGACTCATTGATCTACAACTGGAGAGGACCTCTCAGGAAGCAGCTGAAGCTCCACTGAGAAGGCAAGTGACTTCTCCAGGGTCACAGGGGTTTCTCCTCCCTCTCTTTGTCCAATACTGAATCCCTGGTCTTTAGGCCATAAGGTCTTATTGAATAGTGAGATTGTGTGTGTGTGTGTGTGTGTGTGTGTATGCAGGGAGGGAGGGAGTGGTCTCTCATTCACTTCATTCAACTGCCTTTGTATCTGTTCCTACTTCGTGCCAGGCGCTGTGGTTGGCACTCAGGATACAAATTCAAAAAGAAAAAGAAAACTGATTTACAAAGAGCTAATGTTCTGTTTGTTTGCAGGGGTGGGCATGACTGTACATAGAAAAGTAAAGACAAAAATAAGTCAATACAAAGTAATTTGTGGTAGGAGAGTCCTGGCAACGTGGGTGGAAGGAATCAGGGCATGCCAATTGGAGGGGGGTCCTGAGCTGAACCCTGGAGGAAGCCTGAGATTCTATGAGGCAGAGATCAGGAGGCAGAGTGCCCTTGGCTGGCAAAGGCACAGAGGCTACAAATATAATGTCCTGTCTAAGCAATAGCAGACAAGCTGGTTGGGCTGGAATCTAAAGTGTGTGAAAAAAAAAAAGGAATTTCCAGGAAGCCAAACAGATGAGTTGATATTTTATCTCACAGGCAAGAGGGAGCCAGCCACTGAATCTCCTTGAGCAGGGGAGTGAGCTGGTCAGAACTCTGTTGTTGGCATATCAGTTGGACAGCTGTGTGGAGGATGGATTGATCAGAGAGTGGAGGCAGGAAGGCCAACTGGGAAGCAATTGGAGTAGTCCAAGCAAGAGGTGCTGAAGGCCTGGTCTAAGATGGCAGTCTAAAGATAAGGAAACAAATGAGAAATGCTGTTGGCCAAGATACTGGAGGAACTGGGGAGGTATAAGTTAACCCTCTACATACCAACACCAAAAGCCCAGAGGGTGGCAAGCAAGGGAGTTGTGGTGTAGACCTGGAGCAGTTTGGGTTAACTTCGATTGAGCTGGGACCCAGCTCTGGTATCTTTTGTCCAGAAGAGTCTAAAGGCAGTTTCTTAGCATTTCTATGGGAAGCTCTTGAGACCCTGGGAGCCTCCTGGCTGACAGAGACCTATTTGGATCTTCTGGTTGAATCCTCCCACTCGGCATTTTAACTGTCCAGACAACTTTGTCCACCAGAGTGTATTGGAATTCAGCTTTAATAAAAACACAAAGGAAAGACTTGAAGACAACAGAAGTAATAATAATAGATATATTTACATAGCCCTCTAAGGTTTACAAAGTGCTTTACATATCTCCTTGGTTCACCTGCCAGAGAATCCTCCAACTTCATTTGGCATTAGGTGAATGGGAGAATTGTAGTGCCCTAGACAGAAATGGGGAGTTAGGAGCAGCAGTGGGTTTGGAGAAAAGAGAATGAGCTCCATTTTGATCACATTGACTTTGCAGTGCTTGTGGGATGTCCAGTTGGAGATGTCCAAATGATGTTTCAGGACTAGAGCTTAGGAGAGAGAATAGGGCAGCTGGGGGCTACTGTGGCTGTAGGCCTGGAGATAGGAAGGCCTCAGATAAAATCTTGCTTTAACATATTTACTAGCTGGGTGACTAGGCAGGTCATTCCACCTCTGTGCTCAGCCTCAGTTTCCTCTTCCCCTAAATGAGGTTGGCTTTAACGGCCTCTGAGGACCTTTCCAGCTCTAAATCTGATTTTATGTCTACATCTGAAGAGAGGAGAATTCAACCATGGGAGCTGATGGAAATCCCATACAGAGTGTCCTTGGCTTGGTGGTGCAAGCCTGGGAGAGGAAGAGGACAGTCAGGTCATCCTGCCCTCATCCTGGACTGAGCGTAGAATAGCTGTGGACTACAGTGTCTTTGGGGCCTTGGGACAAGGTCTGACTTATCCTCTCATTTTTTCCTCTCCCTTTGTTTTCAGCTTTGTGGGGAATGGAGAGAAAGTTGGAGTGAGGAGGGGATTTAGTGGCAGTAATCCACAGACCAGCTAGTAGCAAATGTTGGATAATTCATACGAATAGCACCTCTAGGTGGCACAGGGCTTAATGCTAGACCTGGAGTCAGGAAGAGCTGAGGTCAAATCCAGCCTCAGATGCTTCATAGCTGTATGACCCTGGCAAGTCACATAACCTCCCCTTGCCCCCGTTTTCTCTTCTGTGAAAAGGATGTTATAATAGCACTTATCTCTTGGGGATGGTGCAAGGATTAAATGAGATAATATTTGTAAAATACTTTGCACACCTTAGGGAGTTTGAGACCCCGAAGGAGCAGCAGATAGACCATGAGGAGGCATTACTGAGAACTCTTCACCTGCCCCGCCCCCTCCCTCAGCCCCCATCTTTTTCCTCTTGCCTCTTCTCCTCCTTCCCAGTCTCTGGCTCCAATCTGCCAAAGCCCCAGGAGGAAAGAGCATGATTTGATGGAAAGAGTAGTCAGTCACAAATATTTAGTAAGCTCCTACTATGTGCCAGGTACTGACCTAAGCACGGAGAATGCAAAGAAAAGCAAAAACAGTCTCTGACCTGGAAGAACTCACATACAAGAAATTGTCTGCACTAGCTATCATAAAGAGTGGGTGGAGGGCAGTCTGAGAGGAGAAGGCACTGGCCTCTAGAGGTGGAAAATTGGGGCTTGGGGTGGGGAGAGCAGAAAAGGTTTCCTGCAGAAGGTGGGGTGTAAACTGCGTCTTGGAGGAAGGGAAAGGAAGGTTGAAGGTGGAAGTCAGGAGGGACCTCATGCCACGGTGGAGGACAGCCATCCCATGGGCAGGGAGAAGGATAGGGACCTCAGCTCCGCAGGTGTAAGCCACGGGTTTGGACTATGCAGTCCCTACAGTCACTTCCAGCTCAGAGTCCTATCTCCTTTAAAGTATCAGCCTACCATTTCATCACGCCTCTATCTACTCCTCCATTCCCGTCCCCACCCCTCTGTCCTCCTGGGCCGGAAAAGGGGAGCAAGGACCCGCAACTACTATAGACCTTTCCGACCAGCTGGTAGGATGACCAGCACCCCAGCACCCCCTCAGTCATCCCCGGGGATCATTATCCTCCTCCAGGCTTCATGTCAACAGAAACCCAGAAGGGGCTAAGAGGATCTTTGCATTATTTGGCATTTTTATACAGCTTTAAGTTCACAAAGCACCTTGCAAATGCTATGTCATTTGATCCTCACAACAGCCTTAGAAAGTAGCTCCTATTATTATCATCATCCCCATTTTATGGATGAGGAAACTGAGTTAAGAGAGAGGTTAAGTGATTTGCCCGGGGCTGGATTTGGGATTCTCAGTCAGGTGTGGGTAGGACTACGTGGCTCTTGAGATCCGGAGTTCTGAGAGTCTGATTCTAAAGCAAACCAAAGGGTCAAAAGAAGGGGGAGACCCTGCTCCTGGCCCTGCCCGTGGAGTACCAACATTGGCCTCACTCTAAGGGAAGCCCAGCACTGAAGCTAGAGATTGCCCTTCTAGGAATCAGGGAATCAGTAGCTTAATTTGAATATAGAAGGGGAGGGGACGGGGGGAGAGAGAGAGAGAGAGAGAGAGAGAGACAGAGAGAGGGAGGGAGGAGGGGCTGTTGAAGTCCGTTATTGAAGGGCCTTTGAATTTGGTTCTGAAAAATCAGCCTCCCCCTCCCTCTCCCCTCATGCCAGGCCTGGCACCAGAGGGGACGGTCCTGAGCCTTCCACTACCCAGCAGATGGGTTGTGACTTACAGTTCCTCTGGCCTGGGGGAGTTTCACTCAAACCACAGCAGGTTTTGTTTTCTATTCTCACCCCAGGATGCAAATGAAGGAGAATGGGTATGATTCTGCATCTGGAGCTGGAAGGCTTCCCTTCATGTTGCAGACGGGAATTAATAATGACATCTGTCGGAGCAAACTGGCCTCCAACCTGTGGATGGCGGCAGCTGAGCAGAGCAGGCCGTAGACAGGAGAGTCAGGTATCCAACAGAAGTTTAGTTTCGAAGGGAGGGAAGAGGCTTGTAAGCCAAGAGGGAGAGGAGCCAGGAGCCAGGGTCCGGGCCCTCCTGGGGGAAGCCGCTTCAGTGGGGCTGAACCTCGATTATAGAGCTGTGGCTAAACAAAGGCTCAAAGAGCGCTGGCTGCGTAGCAGCAGCAGTGAGGCAACAGCGACAGCCAGGCAAGGCTGGCTGGTGACAAAAAGTGTGCTTATGGCAGGGCTTCACCTCTGGGCACGTTGGTGCTTGGCCGAGCTCAGGGACCATCCCGATGCTCCAGAGGGTGAGTGTAAAGGATTGTCTTTATGCAAAGCCCAGGACACAGCCTGCTTGCTCTGGAAAGCGAGGTGTCCCCCAATACCTTGACAACGATGATAATAATTACCAGCATTTCTATCACACGCTTTAAGTTTTGCAGAGCATTGTAAACCTACGTTCTCTTTTGTTGCTGACAACAATGCTGGGAAAAGTTGTTCAGCTGTGTCTGACTCTTCGTGACCCCATTCAGGGTTTTCTTGGCAAAGATATTGGGGTGGTTTGCCATTTCCTTCTCGTTTTAGAGGTGAGGAAACTGAGGCAAACAAAGTTAACTGACTTGCCCAGGATCACACAGCTAGTAAGTGCCTGAGGTTGGATTTGAACTCAGGTCTTTCTGGCTCCAAATGCAGCACCCTTCCCACTGGGCCACACTGTCTCAGTGCTATCACACATCGTCATTCTCTCTATTCAGGATCTGAGGGCCAAAAGCAGAAGGTATGTGATGGTATGTCCATGTGGTTCGATGGCTCTGCACACCATTGTGATTGTGTGTCCTATGGGAGGGACCTTAGTCCTCAGCTCAATGCCTTCTGGTACAGAGTTGACCTAGGCTTAGGATTCTTCAAGGTTCTGCCACTGGAGCCCAGGTTTGAAAGGCTTCAGGGGAAGAGACCCCGGCTCTGGGGTCAGAAGACCAGGGTTCAAGTCCTACCTCGGGCCCTTTCTATCTCTGTGACCTTGGGCAAGTCATTTCACTTTACTAGGCCTTTCCTCATCTGTAAGATGAGAGGCTGGCCTGAATGGCCCCCGAGGTCCCTTCCGGCTCTAAATCTCAGAAGGGCCCAGTGACGCCCCCACATCCGCAGCCTAACTACTGGGGACCCTCTCTGGTTTCCCAGAGGCTCATTACCTGGTGGTGACTTTTTCAGTGCCTAGTAACTCTGAAACATCATCTCTAAGCGACTTGAAACCCAGCCACAGAATTGCTGGTAAAAGGAGCCAGGGAAGTTTACCATGAGGAACTGAAGGCAGAGGGAAAGGATGATTGCATTCTTCAAGTTCCTGAAGAAAACCTCATCATGTGGGTGGGAGATTAGGTTTTTGTTAGGATTTTTGGTGTGTTTTTAGCCCCAGAAAGCAGAAGTAGGAGAACTCAATGGGCTGTTTTCAGAAAGGTCCATGTCGCCTGGGTGCAAGGAGCGCCTTCGGAACACTAAGCCATGCTCCAAGATGGAGCGGGCTGCTGCAGGAGCTAGTGGGCTCCGCATTTCTTTAGGTCTTCAAGCAGAGGTTCCTTCTCCTGGAGGCCGTAGACTAGGGTTCCTGTTCAGGTTTGGGTTGGATTGGATGGCTCTCAGGTCCCTTTCAGCTGAATTTTTATTTGGGAGACAGAAGGATCCCACAAATGAAGTCATGACTGTTTTTTTTTCTTTAACCTAATCAAGACTTAACATCTGTCTGACCCAGCTCTGTCCCCTCCAGCCCAGAGAAAACCTTCACTTGGATGCTTTTAGGTGTTTCATGGTGGAATCCCAGAAACTCAGAGCTGGAAGACTTTCAGAAAACATCTAGCCCAACCGTCGACCTGGGCAGAATTTCCATCACTCCCTTTCTCTCCCTCCTAACATCATCCCTGACAAAGAAGCCTCCAACCTCACAGGGACAGGAAATACTCTGCCTTTCAAGGCATCACGTCCATTTTCGATCAACTCTGATTCCTGGGACACTCACAGGCTCTGTCCAGAGGCCAGAGAGAGGAGACCTATCTAGGTAATGGTTATTAAAACCAGCCTCTGGATATGTAGAGCTTGGGCCTCAGTTTCCCAATTTATAAAAGCACAAGGGGACATTAGATCATCTGTAAGTGCCATCCTTGAACTGTACATTCTGTGTTCCAGGGTCCTGCTCAGCTCTGACATTATCTGTTCTATGTTCTATGGACCTTCCTTGTGTGACCCTAGCTATGCATTTCTACAGTGCCTATTATGTGCGTACCAAGGTCACACAGCTGCTAAGTGTCTGACACCATATTTGAACTCAGGTCTTCCTGCCTCCAGGCTCAGTGCTCTATCTAGCTACCTTGAACACCCTGGGCAAGTCACTTAACATTTTCTAGCCTCAGTTTCCTCATCTGTAAAATGGGAATAATGATGTGGTCTACTCCCATAGGATTGTTGTGAGGATCAAATATATGTAAAGTGATTTTAAATGTATTCTATAAATGCTAGCTATTATTATTGCTAGTTCTGATATTCTCTATTCGAAAGTCCCTGCAGCTCTGACATCCCCTGTTCTCAGGGCCCTTATCTCTGACATTCTAGGTTCTAGAGTCTCTGACAATCTCTATTCTAAGGCCACTATAGACATCTTGCCAGTGCTGACATGCCCTGTTCTCAGGGCCCTCTGTTCTCAGAGAGGGTGTTACCAGCCAGAGGGACAAAGGGCCAAAGATACAGAAAGATCAGTTGGGCCCAGAGCCACCAGCTCCACAGCTCTTAATCCCGTTGCTTTGGGCCCCCAGGACCAGCCCAAATGGAGTGGTGGGGGAAGGGGAGGAAGGCTTCCACCGAAGGACCCACATGTCCCAAAATTCTTCTGTCTTGCTGGTTCTAGCCACTGGGCTTGGCTTCATTTCCTCTCCCAGTTCTCTTGTTGCAGTGGACAGAGAGGCAGCTGGCCTCCCCACAGGTGCCTGGGGTGGGGGAGGAGGAATGCTAAGAGCTGGGAGAGAACAGGATCACACAAGAGGTAAGAGCTGTCAATAAGCTAATAGGAGCTGGGAGGTGTCAGGACTCAGGGAAACAGAGTCTGCGGAGAGAGCCCTGGCTCCTGAGATCTAGTTTTGGCTCTGGCACAGATGGGCCTTGTGACTTTGGACAGGTCTTCTCCGTGGGCCTCGGTCTCCCTATCTGTAAAAGGCAGAGATTGGACTTAGTAGACTTCTAAGACAACTCTAACATTCAATGACTCCTTGGTCTGGCAAAGAAGACCACCAGAGTTGGGTCCCAGCTTCCCTCTCCATCCTTGTCTTCTGCCCTCCCCCCATTTTCCCCATTCTTCCCCAAACACTTCAGGAAGACGGCACCTACCCTAAGCCAAGCACCCTATGATAGGTATTCTGAAGGTCCAACGAGAACAACAACTAGAAAGGTGGTTAGAACAGAGAATGGCAGAGCTGGGAGGAAGAGTCCTTCACAATCTCCACCTCCTGCCCCATTTTATGGAGAGGGAAACTGGAAGTAATTTAGGGTCTCCTTTCTTTCTTTCTTTCTTTCTTTCTTTTTTTTTTGCTTTTAGGCAATTGGGGTTAAGTGACTTGCCCAGGATCACATAGCTAGTAAGTGTCAAGTGTTTGCTTTGAGGTCAGATTTGATTGAGGTCCTTCTGACTTCAGGGCTGGGGCTCTTAGCTGCCCCTAACTTAGGATCTCCTCTGCCTCATCTTGTGTTTAACTATGGGAAATACTAAGGAAGGTCCATGGCTCTTGCCTTCAGGGAGCTCCCAGAGTAGTTGAGGAGATCACTCCGTCTCTCTCTCTCCCTCTCTCTCCTTCTCTGTCTCTCTCTCTCTCTCTCTCTCTCTCTCTCTCTCTCTCTCTCTCTCTCTCTCTCTCTCTCACACACACACACACACACACACACACACACACACACCCCATTGGAACTTAATACATGACCATATATTCAAAGGATTTGCATATGTGATACAGAGAATGTTGGGAAACCCTCTATGGGTCTTAGTTGGGGTCCTCAGGGAAGGCCTCTTGGAAGAGGTTGGGCCTGAAAGATGGGAGAACCCAAGGATGGGGATAGGGACAGAGGTGCAATCATGGATTGAGCTCACTTGAAGCAAGAAGGCACATGGCACATATAGTATGAGGGAAAGCTTGGGATGCCAAGGGAAGTGAATGTGTGAGTCAGGGAGACAATTCAGAGGGACTGATTAGCCCCAACTCTAGGGCCCTGGATTATATGGATGAAGAGTCTGGTCTTAACTTATGGGAGCTCTTGAAGGCCTTGAACAGGGAAAGGAAAAGGAAGGGTCTCTATAAGGGTAGAGAAAGAGGGGTCCAGTGGCTGGTGGAGATGGGGAAAAGAGCTGAAAGGAGGGAGGGTGGGCGTTGGGCGCTGGGTGGTGGTTTATGGGAAAGAAGATGGTTACAGGGTTTGGGGACTGACTAGCTGGGGTGGATATGTATGATTGGGAATGGGGGTGGTGCAGAGGGGCCACCCAGATTCAATTCTTTGAGACAAACTTGGAGAAGGAGACAAGAGGAGCTAGCCCAGGGTGGGGTGGGGGGAGGGGGAGGGTGGACCCTGAGGGAAATTTGAGGAAGGAAGCAGACATGTGGGCATGAATGGCCGAGCCCATTCCAGAGGCATAGCCTGGGTTGGTCAGGAAGGGGAAGTGGGCTGAGTTAGGCTCATGGCAGTAGTTCGTATATTTCCTTTCCACTTTAAATGAGTGAGAAGCAGATTCAGAGTGTTAAGCTACATGCCCAAGGTCACACAGCTATTATGTGTCTGAACCTAGGTCTTCTGACTATGACCTTTCCACCCTCCATGGCATCTCAAGGTGAAGGGAAGAAATCCAGGCTGAGCACATGGTTCTGAGGGCAAAGGCGTTGCCATCCTTACCCTCAGAGTCTGGAAGATCTGCTGGGCTCAGATATCACTTCAGACACTTACTGACTGTGTGATCTTTGACAAGTCCCTTACCTTGTATGGGCCTCAGTTTCCACATCTGGCCCCTCTAACGTCCCTTTCAGCTCCAAATCTATGATCTTGTGATCCTTCCCCTAGCAATTAGAGCCCTTTAATGGCTTTAGCTTCCAGAATGGAATTGAGTGGAATTTTAGGAGCAGAGCAGTGGGTTCATTTTTAAAGGCTAAAAGACAGAATCCATCCCTTCCTCCATCTCTTCAGTGGGTACAGTGAATTTCTCTCTAATTGAGACTGACTTCCTGGAGAGGGAGATACCTCAATGAGTTAGTTTTCTTTTCTTTTCTTTTCTTTTCTTTTCTTTTCTTTTCTTTTCTTTTCTTTTCTTTTCTTTTCTTTTTCTTTTCTTTTCTTTTCTTTTCTTTTCTTTTCTTTTCTTTTCTTTTCTTTTCTTTTCTTTTCTTTTCTTTTCTTTCTTTTCTTTTCTTTCTTTTTCTTTTCTTTTCTTTTCTTTCTTTCTTTCTTTTCTTTTCTTTTCTTTTCCTTTCTTTTCCTTTCTTTCCCTTTCTTTTCTTGGGAGCAATTGGGGTTGTGACTTGCCCAGGGTCACACAGCTAGTAAGTGTCTGAGGTCAGATTTGAACTCAGATCCTTCTGTCTCCGGGGTTGCTAGGCCACCTGGCTGCCACCATGGGTTGTTTTTTTAGGGATTGAACACTGTCTCGCTCTCTTCTGTCTCATCAGAATGTCTCCTTTCTCCAGGAAATCCCCCCAAAAAGTCAGCATCATAGAGCCCAAAGAGTCAGGAGATGAGTCAGTGTGATATGTAGTGAGTGTGAAGGTGTGGGCTCCAATCGGGCTCTGCTGCTTCCCATCTTTGGAACCTGATGAGCGTAGAATGAGAGACCCAGAGGCCGGGCAGTCCAATCCCCTCAATCTACCTTCTTTTATAAAGGAGACTCAGAGACATAAAGTGACTTAACAAAGTAGTAAGTGTCCCAGGCAGGATTTGAACCTAGACCTTCCTGGTTCCAAGCCCAGCACTCTTCCCATGATGTCAAGCCTCCTCTCACTAAAATCCATTCTAATTATGGTTCTATACTCTGGGTTCAAATCCTAGCTCGGATACATAAGCAGTTGGTGACCTTGGGTGAGTCACTTAACTTCTTCTTTCTAGGCTTCATATTCTCCATTTAGACTAGATGACCTGGATTCAGATCCTGGCTCTGACAACTAACTGAATGACCATGGCCAAGTCAACTTCTGAGCTTGAGTGTGTTCATTTGTGAAATGGGAATAAATTTGTCATCTCTCTCTAAGCCCCTTCCCTTTCCTCCCTTAATGATTATTTAATTATTATTCTCTCCCATGTCTTCACCCCCACTCCCACTTTTTGTTCCTACCCATCTTCATAGCTTGGCAGAAGCAAGAAGCCAAGAGGTGATCCATTGGGCAAAGTTGACTGGGCCTGCCCAGGGAGCAGGGCAGAACCCTACCTCCCTCCTGCCCCCAACATGGTGGCCCAGGGCCGAGTGCTGCTCATCTTCTTCGAACTGCAGCTGGCAATAATGGTGGTCTTGTATCACCAAAGTGACCACCACCAGGTCAGCTATGTCCTGAAGATGCTGACCACCAGCATCCTTAGTACCACCGACACCATCCTGACAATGAAAGATGTCTACAGGGGCCTGGACCAAATCCAACTGCTGAGCCCTACCAAGGAAGACCTGCCCACCTGCCCCAAGACCTCTCCTTTCATCGGTAAGCTGGCACCTTGAGACTTTTGTGGAGGCATGGGAGAGGGCTGCCTGCTTGCTGTGGTGGGGTGCCATTCACTTCTTTGTTCATTCATTCATTCATTCATTCGTGCATGTATATACTCACTCCTTCATTCAATGAGCATTTATGCACAGGCCTCCTAATTGGCTTCCCTGCCTCTGATTCCTCCCCCTCTGCAAGCCATCCCCCACACAGCTCCCAGAGCCTAGTCTGACCATGTCCCTCCCCAACTCCCCTGGTTTCTTATTGCTTCTGGGATAAAATATTCAACTCTCCTGTTTGGCATTCATAATCCATCACAACCAGACCCCAACCTACCTCTCCAGGCTTCTTATACACTACTCTCCTTCCTCCATTCTGCAATCCAGTCATCTCCCAAAACTGGGTCTTTGTGACACACGGGTGGTTGGCCATGCCTGGAAGGCCCTTGCTCTTCCCCTCCGTCTCTAGTCTCTTTGAAGGCTCTGCTCAAGGGCAGCCACCTAAAGAAGGCTTTTCCTGTTCCTGCCTCCCCCTCCCTCCTCCTCTCTAGATTCTTGTACCTGGTGTTTCTCCTGATAGAAGCTAAGCTCCTTAAGGGCAGGGCCTGGGCCATTTTTAGTGTCTGGCTCACAGTTGGAGCTGACATTCTCCTTGGAGAGAGCGTGGGGAACCTGAGGCCACAGATTGCCTGCCCCTGGGCATTTATACAGTGCCTGCTACATGCCAGGCACTATGCTAATTACTTTTTACAAATTTCTCATTTGGTCCTCACAACAACCCTGTGCGTGCATGTGTGTGTGTGTGTGTGTGTGTGTGTGTGTGTGTGTGTGTGTGTGTGTGTGTAGTGGCGGCTATTATCATCCCCATTTTACAGATGAGGAAACTGAGCCAAGGGTTAAGTGACTTGCCCAGAGGCACATAGCTAGTAAGCCTCTGAGGCTGGAACTCAGTTCCTTTTGATTCTGGGCTCAGCTGTCTCCGCCATGCTGCCAGCTGCCTCCAGTCAAAAGAGCGAGAGATGGAAGGAGCCTCAGTTCCCATCTGATGCCACTGAGACCCAGGGAAGTTAAATGACTCATCCACTATGGCCATACTTAAAGTAAAAGTCAGAGGTGGGATTTGAACCCAGGTCCTCTGACTCTAGACACTCTTTCCACTGTCCTACATCCAAAGTCATCTAGTCCAACCTCTTATTTAAAGTGTAGTACAAAGAGCCTGGATTTGCCTGGGTTTGAATCCCACTACTGCCACTTCAAGCCTGTGGGGCCTCAGTGTCCTCTTTTGTAAAATTAGGGTCTTGAACTAAGAGGCCTCTAAGGTCCACCTCTAAATTTATTCAGAAAGAGGAGGCAGGCTGTAGATGTGACTCACTTGCCTAATGGCCCCCAGTTTGTGCATAAAGGTTAGAGACGGGATTTGTACCGTTAGCCAACTGTCCTTCACTTGAGGTCCCCCTTTCAAGGCTTCCTTCTTCCCCACTTCCCCCAGTGCTAGCTCAGACCCACAACTGCCATCCTCCCCACCCCTTTTAGATGTGGATGGTGTACCGGGAAATCCATCCGTTATTTGAATCACCGTTGGACTGGATGATCTGTGACGTCTGTCCCTGAGGTTTCTTGCTTCTGGGTCAGAGGCGGAGGCTGAGGAGGTGTGCTGGACAGGGCACGCCTGTTCTCCGGTCTTTGAGCCAGGAGGGGCGGGGCCTCATGCCACCCCTCCTCCTCTCTCAGGCGGCCCTCTGAAGGTGAGCTTCCCGCTTGATGTGACACTGGATGACATCGCTCAGAAGAACCCGCTGGTGCAGCTGGGAGGCCATTATCAACCACCCAACTGCGGGGCTCTTCACCACACGGCCATCATCATCCCCTACTGGGCCAGAAGGAAGCACCTGCACCAGCTACTCTACCACCTGCACCCCTTCTTGCAGAGACAGCAGATCCACTGTACCATCTATGCGGTGCACCAGGTAAGGGACTGGGCGGAGGTGGAGGGGGAAGGCTATGGAGGAAGGAGATCTCCCCAGCCTGGCCGAGGAGGGCCTAAAGGGTACTGCCTCTTCTCCAGAAGAACAGAGCCCGGAGACTCACACAGGCCCTGCCCAGGGACACAAAAGCAAAGGGAGGCTTGAGCCGGACGGAGATGGCTAGGATAACACAGGTAAGTATCTCACATGGTGAAAGACACATTGCTGTTCCCAAGGTGGAGGTTTTTTAAAAGATTTTACATGTGACATTTATGTGTGATGTTTTATCTTCTATTGCCTCTCCTGTCACTTTCTAGAGGAAAATTGAGTGCATTGTATTCATTTTTTTCTTTTTGGATACATCATTTACTTTACTTTTCAACTAACAAGCATTTATGCTTTTATGTGAAAAAAAAAAAGGAAAACGAAAACCCGTTTAATAAATATGTATAATTATGCAAAACAAACTCCTGCCTTGCTTCCAAAATGTGTACCTTACTGTGCATCTTGAATCCATCACCTCCCTGGTAGGCAAGCTGGCACACAAGATGCCAGTCTTAATAGCTTCCATCATTTATGCCAGCCAATGGAAAAGAAAATCTCAAGCCTCATTCTTTTTTCTTTCTTTTTTTTTTGGCTTGGGCAATCAGGGCTAAGTGACTTGCCCAGGGTCACACAGCTAGTAAGCATCAAGTTATCTGAAGCCACATTTGAACTCAGGTCCTCCTGGCTCCAAGGCCAGAGCTCTATCCATTACACCACCTACCTGCCACTCATGCCTCCTTAAAATTGCATTGACTCCCCCCCATTCCCTCAATTTTTTCTGTCCAAACCTAGGTAGAATCCCTGTCTGTTTTTAAGCTCCTTGGTACTAAGTGAACACGGTTTGGAAGCATCAGTTCTTGCCTGCCTTCCACCAATGCTTCGGTTAAAGGCGGACTGGGGGACATTGTTAGCATGCTTCCTCGTGAGTCCTCTGAACGCTGAGGTCTTTCAAAGCTGTTGGTGTCTGCATTGTTGTTGCTATCATATCAATTTGTCCTCACCTCTTCATTTCACTTTGCCTCAGTTCATCCGAGTCTTCCCGGGTTCTTCTTATTCTGAATCAGTTCTGTGTGCATCTTAGAAATGGGCCCTGTGTCAGAGAAACTTGCTGAAAAGATTTTGTTTCCCCTCCATTTAACAGTTTCCCTTCTAATTTCAGCTGCACTGGTTTTATGTGTGCAAAAACTTTTTCAATTTTGCACAATTTGATTGGCCATGTTATGGTCCCTGAGTTCTTGTTAGATAATAACCCCACTCGGCGAGTCTAAGGTTGATCAGATCCCCAGTGGCAGAGACAACTTGGGAGTGGATTCTGGTCGTCAGCTGTGATTATGATTGTGTAGTATTTGCAAAGTAACTTTAAATTTATCCATGTTTTGTTTGGGCATGACAGATAAACCTCCAAACATTTACTTAATGCCTGCTGTGGATAAGGCAGTAGGCATTGGAGAAATAAGGTCAAAAAGAAAAAAAAAAGTCTTTGCCTGTGAGAAACTTATATTTCACTAGAAATAAGAAGGGGAAGGGAAAAGTATTTATTAAATGCCTCCTGAGTGCCAGGCACTGTGCTAAGCGCTTTGTAATCTGTTTCTCATTAGAGGACACAACATGTAAGCAGGTACGTAAATAGGAGACAATTTGGGGAAGGAAAGGAAGGACTGTCTTTAACTTTAAAAGGACTGGCACTAACCATTGTATTTATCTAGATTCTGACTTCATTTACACAGTTGTATCAGATGTGTCTATTGTCCTTTGGGCTCTGTTTTCTTCCCTCTGCGGCTTTTCATACAAGTCTTCCCATTTTGCTCTTTATAGTCAGCTTTCTTAATGAGAAGAGAAAGTTGGGACCTTGGGCCTGAGTTCAGATTTCATCTTCTCTCTCTCTCTCTCTCTCTCTCTCTCTCTCTCTCTCTCTCTCTCTCTCTCTCTCTCTCTCTCTCTCTTCAGGTTAAGTGACTTACCTAGGGTGACACAGCTACTAAGTGTCAGAGGCCAGATTTGAACTCAGGTCCTTCTGACTTTAGTACCAGTGCTCCATCCACTGAGCCACCTAGCTGCCCCAGGACTTCTCTAGGACTAGAAGATGTCACCTATACCTATGAAATCACAGGTGTGGTCCTTGTTACTTCTTGGAGCACTGATATACCATTATGTTCACCTGCTAAAGTTCATTCACCTATGCCCCAGACACTGAATGCATTTGTTTCTAGATTTTGTCATCACAAATAATGTGTCTATGATGATTTTTGTGCATATGAGCATTTTTCTGCAGTCAGGAGCCTATGTGGGATATGATTCCAGGAGTGGCATCCCTGGGTCAAAGGATTTGAATAATACAGTAATTTTTTTGTGCAGAATTCCAGGTTCAGTTCAGTTCCTGCAGCTGACACTAACTGGGTGTGTGTTAAATGGGGGAAGGGAGCACCAAGTGGCTGCCAGGGTCCTCGTGGATCTGAACCTATGATGTTCTGATTGAAGAGTTCACAGCTCCCTCAGAAGATTTATTGGAACATAATCCTAGAGCTAGAAGGGCCCTCAGAGACTCTCCAGTCCACCCCCTCCCTCCAATTGTACCGACCCAGAGAAATTAGTGACCTCCCCGAGGTCACCAAGGGGGTCAGCATCAGATCCAGAATTCAAACCCAGGTCCTTTGGCTTCAAATTAGGCCTTCTGGTTACTGTCCCATACTCCCCCAGAGCTCTTCTAAAAAGGATTTTTTTTTTAAATCAGCTTTTCTAGCTTAATGGAGATGAGGTTATTTTAGTATGTATTAACCTATTAGGGAGATTGAAGTTATTTTTTTTTAGTTGTTTATTCTTCTTTTGGAAGCTATTTATATCCTTTGGCTGCTTGACTACTGGGGAGAGCCCTAGTCTTAGAAAGCTGTGTCAAATTAAATGTCAGATTTTAGTCAGAGAAATTTAAGGCAAAATCTACCCTTCCCCCCTCCAAAAAATTTCTGCTGCATTGAATTTTGTACAATCAAGGTAGCTTGTTTTGGTCATCTGGTCTTTCCTCTCCCCATCGTGTGTGTGTGTGTGTGTGTGTGTGTTGTGTGTGTGTGTGTGTGTGTGTGTAGGGGGTGATGGTGGCATAGGGAGTGGGCACGCACTGAGTCAGGCACTGAGCAGGGTACTCCTTGAATAAAAGGCCATCCCTCCACTTTAAAGGCTCTATCTATTTCAGATGGACAATTACACCTTTAACCGAGGGAAGCTATTGAATGTGGGCTTCAAAGAGGACATGAAAGAGAATAACTGGCAGTGTCTTTACTTCCATGACGTGGATCTGATTCCTAAGGATGACTGCAACATCTATGACTGCAGTGCCTTTCCCATGCATGCTTCAGTGGCCATTGACAAGTTCCAGTATGAGTAAGTGAAGGCAGAGGGCAGAAAGGAGCTATCCCAGAGAAGGCTGGTAATTGGGGTTAAGTAGCCCTCTTTTCTATCTCTTTTCTGAGAGAGCCCCCACTCTGTGGCTCCTAGGATAGATTCTCCAGTCCACCCGGGAGCAGTTACCAGAGGAGCTATCCTAGGGACCAGAGAGGAGAGTTTATCCCAGGAATCAGCAAAGAGGTCTATCCTAGGAGCCACAGAGTGGGGGCTATCTCAGAAAAGAGATAGAAAAGAGGGCTACTTAACCCCAATTACCTCACCAAAAAAAAAGAAAAAAGAAAAGAAAGAAAAGAGGGCTATCCTAGAGGCCACAAAGGAGGGGCTATCTCAGAGGTTAGAAAAGAGGGCTACTTAACCCCAGTTACCTCACCAAAAAAAAAAAAGAGAGGAAAAAAAAGAGAAATAAGAGGGCTGTCCTAGAGGCCACAGGAGGGGCTATCTCAGAGGTTAGAAAAGAGGATATTCCTAGGGGCCACAGCGTAGGGGCTATCTCAGAGGTTAGAAAAGAGAGTAAAGCTAGGGGCCACAGAGGAAGGGCTATCACAGGAGTTAGAAAAGAGGGCAATCCTAGTGGCCAGAGAAAAGAACTGTCCATGTGGAGTGGAGAGACTGTCTCTAGGGCAAGAAAGGAACTGCTGTCCCCCAGGTAAGAGAATAGTAGCTGCTCCAGGGGCCAGAGAAGTTATCTCAGAAGCAAGACATGAGGGGCTAGCTCTAGGGTCTGAGAGGAGGGGCTACCCTTAGGGGTCAAAGGGGAGCAGTTACCAGAGGCATTGGAACTATCAGCTTAAAGGAGGGATTTTCATGTGGCTTTGAGGGAAGGGCCTTGGGTAGAGGTCATTGAAAGCAGGCTTCAGAAGAATTGCAGCTGCAGTGACATCTGGCCTAGCAGGGTCCTCTGTCTGACTGAGCCTGTGCTTCATGTTTCTAGACTTCCTTATGAGACATACTTTGGGGGTGTGATGGCACTGCAGCCCACTCACTATCTGAAGATCAATGGTTTTCCCAACAACTACTGGGGCTGGGGGGGTGAGGATGATGACATTGCATCCAGGTGAGTAATTTATGCGTAGGTCCGGTGGGGAGCAAGTCTGGGAGCAGGGGGAAAGAGGCCACAGGGTTCTTTGTTCCATCCCTCCCCACAGAATTTTCCTGAATAAGATGTTAATCTCCCAGCCTCCAGCAGTATTTGGCCGCTACCACATGATGAAGCATGGCCATGACAGAGGAAATAAGGCCAACCCCAAAAGGTGAGGGATGGAAGGAGAGGAGGGGCCTGGGGGAAGGGACACTGCTGTTCTCATCATCCTTGATCAAGGGCTTAACCTGAAATGTGTGTCATCCTTCCCGAGTATTCTAAGGCTGGCCCCTGAGACCAGCCCTTGGAGGTGACCCCTCTGCCTCCAGAAGAGCCCTCTTGTGGAGGGCTCCTGCATAGGAGAATGCTCTCAGGTTTTATCCTTGGGTGGACTGCTAGAGGTTCCTTCACCACGGTCAGGATGGTCAGGCTCAGTGCCTTTGTAGAAGGATCATTGACTTGCCCAATAGTTATACTTGAAAGTAGAGGTTCATCACAATGGGAGAAAGAAAGGCTCAGGTCAGGGAGTCACTTTAGGGTCATTCTCCTGGAGGGAATAGTGACCCTTGGATCACCCTTAGAAGAGACAAGGAATCACGTTTGGGTTCTCGTACTTTCAGGGGATTCATCCCTGCTCATTCCCCTTGGGCCATGGCACAGATCACTTTCTTAAGTGGGGGAGAGGGGGCAATAGATGGATGGTTGTGTCTATCAAAACCCTCAGGATCCTGATCTGTAAAATGGGCCCATACTCAAGACTTCTCTCCTTGCAGGTGGCTATGAGGAAGAAGCTTCAGAAATTGTGAAACCCCAAAGAAATAGGCAGGATAAAAATAGTCATGATGGTGGGGGGGGGGGGAGGGGCGGCTGCAGGCTATCATAGGGCCTACATGTCTTTCTTCTCTTTGCCCCATCAGGTTTCACCTCCTCTCCAAAACCCATCTGAGGTGGCGTTACAATAGGATGAATAATCTTCTCTACAGCTTGCTGTCCAAGGAGCAGACCCCCCTCTACACCAACCTCACCATGCACTTTGGTATCGATTACCACTAATTGTGCTGTGCTTCCCATGGGGCCCCTGCCCCCATCTCTTCTGCCTAGAACTCTGGGTCTCTTGCCTCTTGTCCCACCACATGCCTCATCTCTCCCATTCATCAAGGACCAAAGTCAGACACTCAAGACAAATACACAGGGAGCAGAAGGGGGAAGAAATGTGGAAGGAGGCAGTGAGGGTTAGCTCTCCCCCTCACTCCATTTTCTTATTAAAGTGTAGTTTATTTTATATGATGCATGGACCCTCCTGCACACAATTTGGGTCCCCTAGGATCCCATCATCTGGATCTATGTGGGATGAGGGCTGGGAGAAAAGACGCTATCTGAAGCAGGAGACACATTTCTGCCCCTGTTGAACCATTATTCTCTGGAGGAAATTTGGTCCTGGCCTTAGGGAGGTAGGTCTGAAGGTGAGACAAGGTGTTTAAGCCTGTTGGCTCAAACACGGTTACAGATAACAACATAAAACAAAATAATGACAACAGCAAAACCCTCTTAGCAAGCACAAATCTAACTCCAAGTTGACCTGTGATCTCTGGGCCAGAAGGGCCAGAGAGATGAGCTGGGATTCATTTCCCATGGTATCCTGGAGGAGGAGAGAGATTTTGGGGTCCATTTTGGAAGTATTCCTAAAGAAAAGTTTCCTGGAGAGGGGCTGGGGAGATGTTAAATGTGACTGACATTCCTTAGAGCCCTGTCAGGGGACCCTTCCCTCCTATGACCCTATCACTGGAGAAAGCAGAAATCGCTGATCTCCAGCGGAGTTTGGCTCAGTCCCGGACAGGGAGCCGCTACAGGGGCAGCTGCTAGACAGGGAAGAAGGGAGGATGGGGAGGGATGAATAAAAAGAGGGGACGGACAATAAGGGTTGGGGGTGGGAGGGTCAGGGACCTTCATTCTGGACCTTAAGGGACTGCCTTGTCTTTGAGTAGAACTCAGGGGGTTCTTGGGGTCTTTCCCCCTCTGAGGGAAATCAATGGACCAGTCCTCAAAATACAAAGCCATCCAGTCTGGGAAGTAGGGAGGGAAAGAGAGTCTGGGAGACTCAGACTCAGGGATAGGCAGGGGAGAGGAGCGTGATTTGTAGACTGTCAATGCTGGAGGGGAAGGAGGCACATGTTCTTCCTCCCCCAGACAAAATTTGTCAGTGGGTGTGGAAGGTGTTCTCTTCCTGGAGGGGACCCCCTCACCAACTTCTCCCCTAAGCTTGCTCGTGCCTGAGAACATCAGGGGTGTACAAAGTGTGCAAAGCGCGTGGACACTAACCAGCTCTGTGAGGCAACATCTGCCACTCATCTTATAGGCATCATCACCTGGAAAACTGAGGTCCGGGTCCCCCAGCTGGTCATAGGTAGGATTTGAACACGCTTCTGACTCAGACTCCCACAGCCTCACTGTCATCTGACTCCACAACGTCTCTCACCTACGGCCCCTTCAGTCTAAGCATAACCCCCCTCCCCCCAGTTCAGTCAATGTTGCAGGGCCTCCCCGGCTCCTCCCCTCAAGGCCAAATGGATTTTCCTCATGGACAGGAATGACCAGGTTCACCTCTCCTCTCTTCAGTCAACTTTGGTGGCACCCACTTCCCTCCGGGATCCGGTAAAACTGTTTGGCTTTCAAAGTTCCTAACCACCCGGCCTCTTCCTCCCTCTCCAGGCTTCTCACACTTCATCACCAAAGCTGACAGTCCAGCCTCCTGGCCTCCTTGTGGTCCCTTGCACAGGACACTTCCTTTCCTGTCTTTTGACCTCTGGCTGTACCCAGTGCTTGGACAGCTCCTTCCTCTCACCTCCACCTCTGACTTCCCTGGCTTTCTGAGACTCAGACCCAATCCCTGCTTCTTCAGGGGGCCTTCCTGCTCCTCCCCACCCCCCTGCTACCGCTGCCACTTTCAGTTTATCTTTCACGTACACTGTGTCTTGGGTGTACCTAGTGCCATACATAGTATCTTCTTCCTCTCTGGAGCAGGAGCTTCATGAGGGAAGGTACTCTCCCCCTTTATTTGTATGCTAGTGCTTAGCTCAGAGCTTGGCACAGGGAGGCACATTCCTCACATGCTCCCTTCTCTCCTCCAATACTGCCACTGCCCTAGGGTGGACCCTCACGATCTCATGCCTGGACCAGTGCAATAATCTGCCAGCTGGCCTCCTTGCCTCCGTTCTCTCCCCTACTCAGCTGTCAAAGTGATCTTCTGAAGCACAGGCTGACCACATCATTCCCCTATCCAAGCTACTCCAGTAGCAGCTTCTTATCTCTAAGATCAAATCGAAAATCTTCTGTTTGGCTTTTAATGCCCTTTGTAACCTGGCTCCGTCCTGGCTTTCCAGCTTTATACCTAATTCCCCACTGCACACTCCGTAGCCAAGTGGCACTGCTGCCTCAAACCAGACATGCTGTCTGAAAACCTTGGGCATGTTCACTAGCTGTCCTCCATGCCTACAATGATCTCTGTCTCTCTCTTTCTCTCTCTGTCTCTCTATCTGTCTTTCCTCTCTTTGTCTCTCCTTTTTTCTCTCTGTCTCTCTCTCTCTCTTTCTCCCTCCCTCCCTCTCTCTCTCTTTCTCCTCTCCTCTCTGTCTCTGTCTTTCTCTCCCTCTTTCTTGCTTCTCTTTTTCTCCTCTTCTCCCTATCTTAAGTCTCTCCTGTCTCTAGTCCAGCCTCCAACCAGCTATTAGAGAGATCTTCCTAAAGCCCTGGTCTGACTATGTCATTTATTTATATGTTATTTATCAATAAACCCAAGTGGCTCCTTATGACCTCCTGGACCAAATAGAAAATCCTCCTTTTGGCTTTTAAAGCCATTCACAACCTGGTCTCTTTCTACCTTTTTTATTTTTTTAAACACTCTTTTAATACTTTATTTCTCAGTAACACTGCTGATCCTCACAGAAGACACTCTATCTCCACCTGGTGCCTCTTGAGATGGTGGATGTCCGCCATGTCTAGAATGCTCTCCTTCCTCATCCTCTACACCTGGCTTCCTTCAAGTCTCAACCCAAATCTTAGCATCTGCAAGAAGTCTTTCCTTGTCACCCTCAGTGCTTGTTCCTTTTTTCTGAGATCACCTCCAATTTTATATGTGTGTATATATTTATGTGGGCAGCTAGGTGGTGCCATAGTGCATAGAGTGCCAGTCAGTAAGACTCATCTTCCTGAGTTCAAATCTGGCCTTAGACACTTACTACCTGTGTGACCCTGGGCAAGCCACTTAACCCTGTTTGCCTCAGTTTTTTCATCTGTAAAATGAGCTGGAGAAGGAAATGGCAAACCAATCTAGTATCTCTACCAAGAAAACCCAAATGGGGGTCACAACAAGTTGGACATGAGTAAAACAACTGAACAATTGAACAATCATATATAGATGAGGATATGGTATGTAGGGGTTTTTTTGTATGTTTTATCCTCACTAAAATGTGAGTTCCTTGATGACAGAAATGGTTCTTGCCTTTCTTTCTATACCCAGCATGTATCATAGTATCTAGCACATTGTTCAGTCATGTCCAACTCTTTGTTCATGGGATTTTCTTAGCAAAGATGCTGGAGTGGTTTGCTATTTCCTCCTCCAGTGTGTTCCCATTTTACAGATCAGAAACTGAGGCAAATAGAGGGTTAAGTGACTTGCCCAGGGTCCCACAGCCAGTGTCTGGAGCTGGATTTGAACTCAGATTTTCCTGATTCTAGGCCCGGTACTCTATCCACTGTACCACCAAACTTCCCCATTTGGCACATATCAAAGGTTTCATAAATGCCTGCTGATTTGACTATTAGTCCAAGAGTCTTTCCATTCAGTTATGAAAAACACTCACTTAGAAAGCAATCAAAATCAACTTATTTTTATTTAGAGGCAAAATGTGTTATGAAAGTACAGGCCACATTTAAAGAGAGGAGGAAACTCCTAAAGGGAAGTGATCCCAACTCTTGAGACAGCAGTAGAGCAGAGAAGGACAATAGAGAGAGAGGGTAAAGTCACTAGACCCGCATCTGGCAGCAAATGCTGTTCAGGCTGATCATTCCTAGCCGGTTTCAGTGAACTATACAGAGCTCACGCTTATCGTCATTTCGGGGGAGCAGCACTCGTTCTTGGTCTGCTCATCTGCACCCCAGTTTCACCCGGGCCATGGGGCGTCTGACTGCAGTCCATTCTTACAATGGAAGAACTACACTTCTCAACTGGTCTCTTGCTAAAAAGGGGCTACAATGGTAAATCCATTGAAGTCTTGTCAATCCCCATTTTTTATTCTCTCCACACTATTGACCACCCCCTCCTTCTGGACATTCTCTCTTCTCTGGGTTTTTTTTTTTAAACAATGTCCTCGCTTCGTTTTGTTTCCATCTGTCATAACATTGCTTCTTCTTTGTAGGTTCAGCATTTGGGCCCCTAAGTGTGGGTGTGCCTGGGCTCTGATCTTAGTTCCTCTTCTCTCTTTATAGTCAGTTTCTTAGTGACCCCATCAAGTACCATGCATTCAATTGTTAAGCAGATGATTCCCAGTCCTTTTATTCTGACTAGAATCTCCAATTGCCTTCTCTATATCTCCACTGGATGCCCCTTGAGCACCTCAAATTTAGCACGTCCAAAACAACTCATGATGTCATTCTCCAAACTTCCCACTTCCTAACTTCCTGATTTCCATTGAGGACTTTATCATCCTTCCAGCCTAGGAGTCGTCTTTGACTCTACTGTCTCTCATACAAGTCTTGTCCATTCCATGTCTTCAGCATCTCTCGGACATGTTCCCTTCACACTTATGATGCAATCACCACCTTAGTTCAAGGCTGATTAAGCATTATTACCCATCACACAATCTACACTCCAGCCAAACTATGCTGTTTCTGTTCCCCTTAAACAACATTCCATCTCCTGCTGTTTGCCTTTGTACAACTTGGGTCCATTCCCAGGATGCTCCCAATTCACCTCTATCCCTTGTAATTCATAACTCCCTTCAAGGGTAAGCCTAAGCATAAGAAGCCTTCAGGAGGCCTTTCTAATCTAATCTCCCCAGTTACTAAGTGTCTCCCAAGTCTGTGTTTTCATCTTGTATATATCTAGCATAAGAAATCACCCCTCTACCTTCTTAACCCAGATACCTTAACGAAGTCAGAATATATATATATATCAATCCATCATTCATAGGCCAAAAAATTAAGTTCAGAAATCTTTGGAAGTCATTTGATGAAGTGAAATGATACCAAGCAAGAAGTGTGTTCCAACTTGGTAGGGGGATTTCCTTACATTCTGTATAAAAGCATTGAGTTGGATGGAAAAGAGAATTTGAGAAATCAAAACATGTTGCTTCTCAGCACCTCCCTGAAGAGAAGGCACCTAAGGGGGATGGAGAAATATTAACTCTAGCCTTGGCCAGGTCTTCTCCTAGAGTCCCTTTGACTGGGGAAGGACCTTCCAATTTAGAGGATGTTGCACTTCCCATCTGGACTGGCAGACAGTGGTATCTGCATCAGAAGCCAAGGACGGACTGAACAAAGATTCACCATGCTTAAGGGAAACTACCTCAACATCCCACAAATGGAAGAAAATAGAAGAAAACTAGCAACCAAAAGCCATGAATTATCCCTTTGTTACATGTACTCTCTGGGCTTGAGCCCGCTTTCCCTTGGATTCTATATGTACTTGTGAAAGTGAGCTTTCCAAATATTTGGAGGGATGGTTTGTACCAATTGCTCTTACTGTATTCTCTTTATAAATACTCTTTTCTTTAAAAAAAAAACTACTTAAGGTTGGCTGATTGAATGGTTTTCAATTGATAATTTATAGGGGAAGCACACCAGTGGGGGCTCGAGTCCTAGGTATTACAAAATCACACCTGTTACTTCAGGGGCCACTAAAGGTTTGTGTGGGTGATGTAGCCAGCCAAATTCTGGAGACCCAACTTGTCCATGAGAATGGGAGTTAGGATGAGGATCCTCAGAAATTACATGGGCTACATCTGTACTTAATTATCCATAACTTGCTGTATCCTTAGAATGTGTTTGGTTTTTGTTTTTTTGTTTTAAGATAGGGACTCTCTCATTTTGTATTTGTATCCACAAGTAGACAAGAATTTTTAAGTGACTATTACATGTTAGGAGCTAAGTCAATGACGGCCCAAAGCTATGTGGTGACGGTGTTAGGGGAAAGAACGGGCCAAAAACAAGAGATGTTACAAAGGTAGAATCTACAAAACTTGGCAATAGATTGGATATTGGACGGTGAAAGAGAAAGTGAAAAGCTGAGGGCAGCACCTAGGTTATAAGCCCTGGTGACTGTGAAGATGGTGGTGCCTTCACCCTCAGTAACAAGGAAGCTTAGAAGAAGGAATAGTTTTGGGGGAAAGATAATGAGTTCAGTTTTGGACATACTGAGTTTAAGATGTCTATAGAAGATGTCCAACTGGTGGCTGGAGATTCAAGAATAAGTCAGGAGAAAGGTTAGGGCTAGATAAGTAGATCTGATGATAATCATCTATTTATTGATGATAATTGAATCCATAGGGGTCAATGAGATCCCCAAGTTTAATAACATGGAGGGAGAAGAAGACCCAGGACAGAGCCTTGGGAGATACCTTAAAGCCCAGCACTATTCTTGGAATATAGTAACTTAACAATTTAACAAGCTTAACAATTGCTTGTTGGTTATCAAAATCTCTAAAATGGAACTTATATTTCCTTTCTTGTGACCTTTAACCTCTCTTGAACTCAGTTTCCCCATCTGTAAAACTAAGTAGACTTTGAGGTTACTTCCTTCTTTAAACCTATGAGGTGATGATACAATACTTTGTATAATTTGAATGTATTTTTACAAACTTATCTGTAAACATGTTCTATCCACCCAGTACCGTATACACTCCTTGAAGCGACCGGCACTTAATATTTGTTGAATTGAATTGAATGTAATTGAATTGAGTGGCAGAGCAGGGAGGCACTACATCACATCAAGGACTCATAGGAATTTCAGGGGGTCACAGAACCAAGCAGCCCCATTGGGTCACTACAGAATAAAAATCAACATGCCCAGCTTTTGTTGGGGAAAGAACAATTGTTCACTAAGTCTGTGGACACACACAATCAGTTAAAAGGCTGTTTTTGCTTCATTCTGATAATTTTTTCATGCATTCTTTATGGATGAAAATATTTGCGCATTTCAATGGAAGGTTGTTTTTTCTAATTGCATCTGCCTTGGAAACTCCTCCACCAAAAGTCCCCCCAAAACAAAGAACATGGAATTTCAGAGCTGGAAGGAGCCATAAAAGTTACCTGGACTGACTGCTTCTTAAAGATGGGAAAACTGAGGCCTAGAGAAGGGTAGTAGATTTCCTCAAGGTATACAGCTAGCTAGGGAGAGAACATGTCTTCTAGTCTGACAACAACTTGGCCTAAGTGGTCTTCACATTCTTTTCTAGGTCCAACAATCTCTGTTTTAAGGTTTCTACTTGTCCTGGAAATCTGAGTTCTAAGGTCCCTCTTGATCTATCCCTGACATTCTATGTTCTAAGTTCTGTAAGCTCTGACATGACATCTGTCTTCTAAGGTCCCTCCCTGACATTCTTTATCTGCCTTCTCTCCCAACTCTGAAATTCTGTGTTTTAAGTGGCCTCCCAGTTCTGAAATTCTGTGTTCTAAGGGCCCTTCTATCCCTGACATTATGGGTTCCAAAGGCCCTTCTAGCTCTGACATAGAGTATTCTAGGTCCCTTCTCATTTCTGACATTCCTTGATCTAAGCTCCTCTCCATCTCTGATATTGCCTGTTCTAAGGGCCCATACTGTTCCCATACTTGACATTCCCTGTTCTAAGGGCCCTCCCAACTCTGACAGTCTTTATTATGATACCCTGTCTTCTATTTACAAAAAATAACATCATGACCCAGTGATAGTAGGGTTCTGTTCATACCACATTTGACTTCTTCTTTCAGTAACAACACCACCATGCATCTTGCTCCTCTTCCATTCTCTTCCTCACAAAGGCTATTTTTGAAACTTGATCTCAGCATACTCAGTGCCAGTATATGCAGACTCCTGGGGACTTTCGGGGCTCAGCTTCTGGAAGCTGAGGCAGGCATAATGCAGCTCGGGTCCCTCCTTAGAGGTGGGGCATGATGTGTCAGGGGGTGGGGGCCTCAGGGAACTTTTCAACCTCAGTATCCCATCTGGAGTCTGTGAGGAGAGGAAATGGTGTCAGAGTGGCCCATAGGGTCCTTGGGCAAGAGGGTGGTTGGATAAGAACAGTTGGGGAAAGAAAGACTGGAAGACATTTTCAGTTCTTGAAAGGTCATTGGCTGGCCTCTTTCTTCCCTCCTGCTAGATGGGACCACCTCTCTTACTCTTTAAGATTTTTCATCTTCCTTCACAGGCCACATTCAGAGTTATTGAGGAGTGGCTCCTGTTCTCCCTGGCCCTTGAACCCTTCCACATTGGTAACTCCATAACCCCTGGCAAGAGAGGTCCAGCTCTTCTATCTTAACTGTCAACTAGGTGTTTGATGGTTTTATCTGCCTTTAACAGGGCACACTCCAGATTTAGGGGTAGGGAAGGGGGATTGAGAGGGACAGCCCCTATTGCTCTTCCTCTGACACCATTCCTTCTATGACCTCCAGGAGGATTCCAATTCCCCAGTTGTCCTGATGCTGATGTGGGCAACCCTTTTCTTCTTTAGATTTTCACATCACATGTTAGATATTTTTCCCACACCGAAGACTTTGACTAGTCACTAAGATAAAATAAAACAAACTCACAGAGTGCAGAATAATAACAACAGTAATAAAGACAGATAATGGATAAGCAGAAATGGAAATGGTTATGCCCAAGTTACTCACAAGGGGGATGGCCTCTGAGGGAAGGTGCCTGTTATCTTCATTGACTTCAGTCTCAGATGTTTTAGTCCTCACCTCTGGTGATTTCCTCTTAAGAGTCTTCACCCTGATTAGATGAATGCATAGTGACCAGAGATTAGGGCTTATTCTCTATGCCCCTCATCCCTTCATCCACCCCTTTGAGACCCCTGGAATGGCTGGTATGAAGACAACAATACTCGCTAGGAGAAAAGACTGTGGGGAAGTAGCCAGAAAATTAGTAAAAGGTAGGAGCTTTTAAAAGATTCTGAAAATACCACCCTCTGAAAGTCAAAGTGGACTGAGAATCATGGAATTTGAGAGTTGGAATGGACCTTAAAGTTGATCTAGTGCAACTCATAGCTAAACCAAAACCCATTCTACCATATGCCCAAGAAAAGACCATTCAGCCTCTATTTGAAGATCTCCAGCAATGGAGAACTCACTACCATACAAGGCAACTCATTCTACTTTTAGACATCTCTGATAGTGAGGAAATTGCTTGTGATGTGAAGCTGAAATCAGCCTCTCTGTTCTTTGGTTTAGGGTACAAAGAGAATGAATCTAATTCCTTTCCCCTATTTTATGCGCTTTAGGTGTTTGAGGACAGCTAATATAGACTCCCTGTGTCTTTTATTTATTCTTCAGGCTCAGCAGCCTCATTTCCTTCTGTATTCCTGGTTTCTAGGTCCATCCTCATCCTGACCATCCTCTTCTGGACAGGCTCTAGCTTGTCATTTTCTCTCTTAAAATGTGGCAATCAAAACAGAATAGAATACTCCAGCCATGGGATGACTAGGACTGAAGGCAAAGGGACTGTGACTTGTTTCATTCTGGATCATGCTTCTGTTTATGCAGTCAAAAGTCCCTTCAGCTTTTTTGATAGCCATGTCACACTCTTAACTCAATGAGCTTAAAACCCCCTAAAAAATCTCATGAGTTTTTTTCCAACACAGATTGCTGCCTTGTTTCACCTCCCTCATGCTAGACTGCTAGAACTGATTTTTTGACCTATGCAGAACTTTACATTGGTTGTTATTCATTTTGATGTTTAACCCTTAGTGTTACCAGTCTCAAAGGCTCAAAGCTCCTGATTGATGGACACTCCCATTGAGGGGGAGGGGGACAATATTTGGCCTTGGAAAACATTTCCAACATGTAAAATGATCTTATTATCATTTATTCTTTAGACTGGGAGTTCTTAACTTGGATAGATTTCAGGAGTCTATAAACTTATATGGGAAAAATGATATCTTTATTTAAAATACAATTGTTTTCCTTTGTAATTCTAAGTATTTTATGTATTTAGAAACATTATTCTGAGAAGTGTCTTCACCAGACTGCCAAAGGGATCCATGACACACAAAAAAAGTTAAGAATACCTACTTTAAACTCTGGATTAGCCAGTGAAGTCACATCAGTCACAGAACCTTTCTTGGGGGCAGAAACCCATGGTCATAGTCTTCCAGAAGTGTATAACTCATTCCAGAAAACTCTTGACAACCTCTTGAGATGTGGACCTTGGGGTTACAAACTGCATCCAACACTCCCGTCCCTTGCCGGCCCCAACACTCACACAATGATAAGGAGGCCAAGAGCCAAGAGGCCAGTGACGGCAGCCCCGTAGGCAGCTCCCATGATCAGTGATTTCTTGTTCATTTCAGTGCCTTGAGTGGTTTTGTCTGAACACAGAAGGGGATGGGGGTGAATTAATCAACCAAGAGACATTTATTTGACACTTTTTAGGCACTGTTCTAGGCATAGATCCTGCCTTCAACAAACTAGCATTCTATCAGTTGAAGCAACATGTTCACGTATAAATAGATACAAAATATCTGCAAAGTAAAGACAAGATTTTTTTTTCCTTTTGTGGGGGAGATGATGGAAAGAATTATTAGCGGGCTAAGGAGGTGGGGAAGCAGAGATAGGAAAGGCCTCATGTAAGAGGTAATACCTGAGCTGAGCTTTTTAAAGGCAGAGATGGGGAAGGAAGTGCATTCTCAAAATGGTGGACAGTCTGGCCAAAGGCATGGAGATGGGAGATGGGATGTGGTGTGTTAGCAAGTAGGGCAATTTGAACAGGGTATAGGGTTTGGGAAGAGGAGTGAGATGCAATAAGCCTGGAAAGGAAGACTGGAGTCCGATTGTGAGGAGTTGTCAAAGCCAAACAGCAGACTAAGATGACAAACAACTTGGAAAGAATTTAAAAATCTGTTCAATGTAATGACCAGACATGATTCCAGAAAACTCATAATGAGTTATGCTGCCCACTTTCTGACAGAGGGGTGATTATCTCACAGAACAGACTGAGACATTTCCCCCCTTAAATATAGCCAATGAAGGAATTTGTTTTGCTAGACTATATATGTCCATAACAGGAGTTTTACTTTTCTTTCTCTTTCAATGGCAGGAGGAGATAGAAGAGAGAGAGAAGGTGAATTTTCATTTAAAAAAATGTAATTAAAAATATATGACTGCCTACTTTGAGGCTATTGCAACCTACCCCAACAACAATCTAAAAATTGCACCGACCAAATAATGACCAAGAAGTCCAAAGAGAAACCACCAAAAACAAAAATGACTTCATCCAGCCTAGAACTGCATAAAAAATAAGCCAGAAGTCCATGGCCAACAGGAAAGGGAACCTGACAGAAGAGCTAGGCCAGCATAGGTGAACAAAATTAAAGCCTCAGGGCATCTCAGACACTAGTCAAGGACATTTCAAACTTGCTTCACTCTCTCTCCAGAGACAGCAAGAGTAGAAGCTTTGGAATAAAAAAAATCCCAGAATGGTTAGAAGTACACATTCCTGTGACTTTGGAAGCAGTCAAGGTGGTAGACATCAGTCCTTGATGGAAATATTCAGACTTAGGATACCCCAGATCTAAGAACATTGGAGGTCAAAGGCCCTGAAGATATAGCTCTATGAATCTCAAAGATCAATGAGTGAAGAGACACCCTAGGAGGTGGAGGTCAGTGCAGGAATACAAGTGAACCTGGTCAAGACCACAGTATGTCAATTACCTCAGCCAAAATTTTACCAGGGAACAGAGACTGGCCCAGGCATAAAGCCTCAATTCAGAAACCAAGGTTGGAGCTATGAATAAGCAGAAGACACTGACCGTGATTTAAAAAAGTATGGACTCAGGTACACACAAAAATCCAATTTAAAAGAGGAGAATAATTCCATAACAACTACAAGCATAGACCCAAAGAAGAAAACTGGATTGTCCATGAGGTCTACAGGAATCTCTGTAAAAAATGAATCAAGTAGGGGCAGCTAGGTGGCACAGTGGATTAAGCACTAGCCTTGGAGTCAGGAGGATCTGAGTTCAAATCTGGCCTCAGACACTTGACACTAGCTATGTGATCCTGGGCAAGTCACTTAACCCCATTACCTAGACAAAAAACAAAACAAAACAAAAAAAAATGAATCAAGAGATTTTTAAAATGAAATAAGAGCTCAAGAGGAAAGCAATGGAAAGAGAACAGAAAACTATATACACTCCTCACAAAGTGGATTTGCTAAAAACTAGAATAGAACAAAATAATTCCATGAAATAATAAGAAATATCAGAAAAGAAACAAAAAAAGATTGAAAAGTAGAAGAGAGGTAAGAGACAAAAATATTATAAAAACAACTGACCTGGAAAACAGGTCAAGGAGAGTTCATTTATGAAAAATGAGGTTCCCTAAAAACATGACCACCACCCCCCAAGAAACTTATATACTATATAAGGCTGGCTTTGAACTCAGGTCATCCTGACTCCAAGGCCAGAGCTCTATCCACTGTGCCACCTAGCTGCCCCTACTATATTTCAACAAATCATAAATCAAAACTTCCCAGATCCATTAGAACTAGAAAATACAGTGAAAATAAAATGAATCCACCCACCACCTCTTGAAAGAAACTCCAAGAAGAAAACTCCCAAGAATGTCATGCTAAAAAAACTACAGTGAAAATCACACAGGCTTTGGCAGCTTCTACTTTAAATGAGAGCAGATCTTGGTATACAGTACCCTAAAGGGCAAATGGGAAAGTCAAATAAGCAAGAATAACTTACCCTGTAAAGCTAAGTGAATCAGATTACTGGGAGAAATAGAAAGCAAAATTGTAGTAGTTGGAGATCTCAATGTGTCTCTTTAAAAACTAGATATAATTAACCAAAACAGATAAGTAAAAGAGAAATTAAAATAGTACAGGAGAAAAAAAAATATTTAATAGAATAGAGGTTTTTCTGATGAGAAGATCAGAATTTGGTAGAAACTTTAATGCAAATAAGCAAAATCTAGAAAGGTAAATGTGCAGCATATCCCAAAAATCTTAATGCAGTTACACACACACACACATACATATATTTGTATATTATATGTAATAGGTAATGTTCAAAGGATATGAACAGGTAGTTCTCAAAGGATGAATGAAATCAATCATCAACAGCCACATTTTAAAGTTGCAAATCACTAATATTAAGAGATTTGCAAATCAAAACAACTCTGAGTCAACCCTAAATCCATCAAATTGGCAAAGTTGACAGAGAAATCACCATTGTTGAAAGGATTATGGGAAGAGAGACATACTAATAATGCACTAATAATGCAATAGGTAGAACTATGGATTTTAACCAACTATTCTGGAAGGCAATTTAGAACTGGACACTTTGGACCCTGTGATAATATTATTAGGCTTGTATCCCCCGCAAAGAGATCAAAGAAAGAGGAAAAGTTCACAAAAGCACAAAAAAATTCATAGCAGCTTTCTAGCATTCCAACAAAGAACTGGAAACTGAGGAGGAGGAAACGTAGTGGCTGAACAAATTATAGAATAGAATTAATATGGTATGTGGGTGAACTCAAAGAAAGGACACATTGGTTACATAACAATAGAAGTGACATTACTAGAAAAGGATCTGGTTGGTGCAGTTTTTTTTTTTTCCGCTACAAGTGTAGGAGAAGGTATAGGAAACTTGGACCTGCAGTTGTCACTGATTCAGGGGCATCCAGACTGATTCTTGCCTCCTCTTGGGAAAACCGTAGGGAGGGAGAACTTTAGGTGCCTCCCCCAGATCCTGAGGCCCCCATCTACCAGCCAATGCTGATCTACCACCACTTACATTCCCTCTATGTCGCCAACAGGGTTAGTAGAAGCAGGTAAACCAGCATCTCTGAGGCTAGAGAAGAGACCCAGGCTCTGTCCCAGGGCTTCCTGAAGCCCCAGTATCTTTGAGTATATCAGTCAGCCTGTCCAGGTAGAGAGGGGCCCAAGGAAGCCACTTTATGAAGAAAGAAGGGGCCTGTAAGGAACTTAATCTTGGGAGCCAGGGAAGGAAGTTTTTAGTGACTGCTGCACCTGGCTCAGCTTTGGCAGACCCAGACCCAGAAGAATAAGCACCACAGAGCAGCTGCATTGAGGAAGCTGGGGATGTTCTCACTCTGGGGAGGGAAATGAGGAGGAAGAAGTAAATACTCAAGAAGGTCTGGCCTAGGTTAGTGAGGGAGTTGTGCTTCAGACCTCCTGCACAGACCAGGAGGTATACTATGTGAATGTGGACTGCCATTGTGCCAAAAGAAATAGGGAAATTTTGGTTTTAGAGAATCCTTGGAAGACTTGTGTGGACAGATACAGAGTGAATGAGCAGAAGCCAGAGAACAATCTATACAGTATCAATAGCATCAGACTGTGAGCTCCTTGAGGCCAGGGATCATCTTTTACCTGTCTATGTCATCCATAGAGCTTAACACAGTTCCTGGCACTCAGTAGGCACTAAATGTTTGTTAACTGACTTCTAGCAGTATAAAAAAAAAATTTTGAAAGACTTAAGAACTTTGACCCAACGCAGTGACCAAGCAGGGTTCCAGAGGAAGGAAAGAAATGAGCATTTATATAGTGCTTAGCACATGCAGGCACTGTGCTAAGCGCTTTACAAACATTACCTCATTTTTAGCTTCATAACAACTCTGGGAAATGGGTGCTTTTATTGTCCTCATTTTATAGTTGAGGAAACTGGTGCAGACAGAGTGCAAGTGATTTGCCCAGGGTCACATGGCTGGTAAGTGTCTAAGGCTGATTTGAACTCAGGTCTTTCTGGTTCCTAGCATTCTATCCATTGTACTTCCCCTTATAGAGAGGCAAAGAACTCAAGATATGGAATGAGACAAAAATACGTGGACATGGTGAATACGTAGACCATACTTACTAATACATACTATTGTTTTTGACAAGTGATGGTAGAATGTCCCCCAACTTCCCCTCAAAAAAAAGAAGAAGAAGAAAAAGAGGGTCATTGAAGCCTTTTTCAGGATGCCAGGAAGAGAACAAAAGTACGGGAATAGATGGCGAGATAAGCAGGAAGGCTTTTAAAGCAACGTGTTGAACTTCTCATATTCTTTAAACAAGCAAGCTGTATGGAACAAAGATTTGTGGTTTCATATACTATTCTTTTTTGCCCTCTCCTATTTACACGGAAATGCTATTTTTAGGTGTTTATGAAGTTCATAATTTAAAAAAAAAACTTTTAAGCACAAAATAAAAAGCCCAGCTGAAAAAAATTGCACTTTGTCCCTAAGGTGAAGTGATCCCCTTGAAGCTCCTTAAGCGTGTGGTGACAGGATCAGCCCTGTGCTTTTGGGATATCCATTGGTCAGTTGTGTAGATTGGAGAGGAGAGAGACTGGGGCAGAGAGATGTATTAGGACACTCTAAATGAGGTCTTGGTGGTGTGTGGGGACCCAGGCATCCAGCCTGCCAGCCCTATTGCTGGCACCCCAAGATCTTTACCTGGAACCAGCAGGATGCTGACACTGTGCGTCCCATGACAGTTCTTCCCCTCACAGCGGAGGCTGAGGGCAGGATCTGGCTTTGCCTCAAACTCAGGCTACTGTTGGTCCAGACCCCTGAGGTAGTGGACACAACCTGGAGGTGTCATTGCCGCTGCTGTCCTGCAAAGGGCTGTCCCCCAGCCACCAGTGCAGAGAGGGGGCCGGCTCGCCCTGGACAGAGCAGGCACAGAGCAAGCCCTCCTCACCCCAGGAGCAAGAAGAGCTGAGCAGCTTCGGGGGGTCTGTTGGGGATGAGGGAAAGCATGTGAGCTTGCAGGATGCTCTTGCCCTCTTTACTTTCCCAGTTCCCATGCCACCCCCACCTCCATTCTCAGTTTCTCTCACTCACACTGCACAGAGAGCACCAGGGAGGCCTTCCTAGATTTCGGTGGGGCCTGAGTTTGGCAGGTGTACTCTCCAGAGTCGCGTGGCCCCACCTGGTGAAGTTGCAAGTTTGCAACCCCAGCAGCTGAAAGTTGGGAGGAGGTCAGAGTTCGCTTCCCCTTGGTCCAGTTTAGAGAGACAGCCGGGTTACTGTCAGCAGCACAGCTCAGATTCAGGGACTTGCCCTCCAACACTGGCAGATAGGACACATTTTCCAGGAACTTTAGAACTGGGGAGAGAGCAGCCCCAGACAAGGTGATGACAGATGCCGCAACCCCTGCATCCTCTTCTCCTCCCCTGACTCCCAACACCTGTGCCTGGCTTCCTACCTGGCCAATTTCCCTGGTAAACCTGAATGGTTGGCCTTTTGGGAGGATCTGTAATGGAAACATGTAACTCAGCAGCTGTTAAGCTTGGAACTTCTCTTCAGATGTTGGAGAGAAAACAGAAGCCTTCTGTGTACCATCTTCCCTCATCTGGGCCCCAGCTCCTGCCCCCAGGACTTACAGGTGACGTGAAGATGCATAGTCCTTTCTGAGGTCACATAGGGCTTCTTAAAGGTTACTTGACAAGTGATTTTGGTGCCATGGTCCTGGGCTTTTGGAGTGAAAGACAGCTTTGAAGAGGCATGGGTCCTGGTGCCAGGACTCTGGGAGGAGAGGGCAGACCCTGTCCAGAGAAAGGTGGGGGAATTCACCCCCTCACAGGCCCCTGGCATCGTGCAGATCAGGGTCCCTTCATCCCCAGCTTTCAGGGTCTCTAGGACTTTGATAACTGGTTTCACTGTCAAGTCTGGAGGAGGAGAGAAGTGAATCTTACCCACGGGTGCATGGAATCAGTGGGTCCTTTCCCTGTATTCACCTTCCCCCAGCTCGGTCCTTCCTTTCATGGGCACCCCCAGCTACCCCCAAGCCTTGCGTCACCTACCCAACACATTGACAGACACTTCATTTTTAAACTCAGGTTTTAATTTTCCTGTCTCCATCTTGAGTGTGTATTTCCCCGTGTCCAATTTCTGAGCATTCTTGATGGACAGAGTGCAGTTTCGGTTCTGGGGATTCCCGATAACACTGAAGCGGTCTCGAAATCTTTCAGATATGTTAAAACGGTGCTTATTGGTGGCCACTAGGGTGAGATTGTTTTTTTCCCTCAGGTACCAAAAGAGAAAGATCTGGTTGTTGACTTCATCCTTCCCAAGGTAGGAAAAGGTACAAGGAACTTGTACACACAGGTTCTGCTGAACTGTCACTGTTTCAAGGACGTTTAGTTTGAATTCTGCCTCTTCTTGGAGATGCTCTATAGACAGGGAGAAACTTAGGGGCTTTTCCAGGCCCTGAGGCACCCTCCTCCACCCACCCCCGCCTCCCACCACCACCTAGTCCTCAACCACCTTGCTCACCCAATTCCAGCACTTGTCACTACTTACGCCCCCAGATGACAGGCAGCAGGAGCAGGCATACCAGCATCCTTGAAGAGACAAAGGTACAGGAAGGATCCAGGCTCCGACCTGGGACCTCCTCCAACCCCAGAGTCTGTGAAAACGTCAGTCGGCTTGTTCAGAAGGAAAGGTCTAAGGCAGCCCAGCCTACAAGGAACCTAACAGTTCTGGGATCCAGCGAGGGGAATTCTCGGAGACTGGTGCATGGGGCTCCACTCTGACAGACCCAGATCCAAGGGGAGGGACTTCACCAAAGTAGCCACAGTGGGGGAAGCTGAGGGTATTCTGCCTCCAGGATGACAAATGAGGAAGAAGTAAAAGTAAATTGCTGATCCAGGCAATGCTGGCCTAGACTGGTGAGGAAGCTCCATCTGGCCCCTGCTGCTGAGACCTGAGAGTGTTCATTAGCATGAGCATGAACAAAATGCAAGTGTATTTGAGGATGAGAATGAGAAAGATAAGAGATCTCTTCAAGAAAAGCAGAGATATCAAGGGAAAGTTTCATGCAAAAGCAGGCATGATAAAGACAAAAATGGTAGGGCCTTAACAGAAGCAGAAGAGATAAGAAGATGTGGTAAGAATGCACAGAAGAAGTACACAAGGAAGATCTTAACATCACCAATAACCACAATGGGGTGGCTACTGATCTAGAGCCAGACGTCCTGGAGAATGAAGTCAAGTGAGCCTTAGGAAGCATAGTTAACAGTAAGGCTAGTGGAGGGGACGGAATTCCAGCTGAGCTATCTTAAAACATAATGCCATTAAAGTGCTGTACTCAATATGCCAGCAAATTTGGAAAACTCACCAGTAGCCACTGGATAGGAAAAGATCAGTTTGCGTCCCCATCCTAAAGAAAGGTAACATCAAGGAATGTCCAAATTCCTGAACAAATGCACACATTTCACACACCAGCAAAGTCATGCTTAAGATTCTGCAGGCTAGGCTTCACCAATATGTGAATCGAGAATTACCAGGAGAGCAGGCTGATTTTTGAAGCCACAGAGGAACTAGAGTCCAAATTGGCAACAGTCGCTGGATTATGGAGAAAGCAATGGAGTTCCAGAAAAACCTCTACTTCTATCTCCTTGACTATACTGAAACCTTTGACTGTGTGGATCACAATAAAATGTGGCAAGTCCTCAAAGAAATGGGAGGACCACTTCATCTTACTTGTCTCCTGTGAGGAACCTGTGTGAAGGCCAAGAAGCAACAGTTAGAACCAAACATGGAACAATTGATTGGTTTAAGATTGGAAAAGGAGCTTGGCAAAGCTGTACGTCGTGACCTTATTTATTTAACTTAGATGCAGAGTACATCATGAGAAATGCCAGGCTGGATGAATCCAAAGCTGGAATTAAGGTTGCCAAGAGAAACATGAACAATCTCAGATACGTGGACAACACCACTCTGATGGCAGAAAGTGAAGAGGAATTAAAGAGGAGAGTGTAAAAGCTGGCTTGAAGCTTAACAGCAAAAAACTAAGATTTTGACAACTGGTCCCATCATGTCCTGGCAAATAAAAGGAGAAGAAATGGAAGTGGTGTCAGATTTTATATTCTGGGCTCAAAGATCACTACAGATGGTGATTGCAGCCATGAAATTAAAAGATGCTTGCTCCTCGGAAGGAAAGCTATGGCAAATCTGGACAGCATAATGAAAAGCAGAGACATCACCCCTCTGACAAAGGTCCATAGAGTCAAAGCTGTGGTTTTTTCAGTAGTGATATATGGCTGTGAGAGTTGGACTATGAGGAAAGCTGAGCTCTACAGAACTGGTGCTTGTGCAGCTCTTTCTGTGGTGGCAAAGAATTGGAAATTGAGAGGATGCCCATCAATTGGGGAATGACTGAGCAAGTTGTGGTACATGAATGTAATGGAATATTATTGTGCTATAAGATATGATGAACAAGCTGACTTCAGAAAAACCTGGAAAGACTTGTATGGTCTGCTGCTGAATGAAGTGAGCAGAACCAAGAGAATGTTGTACACAATAACGGCCACGTTGTGCAATGAGTAATATTGAGAAACTTGACCCTTCCCAGCAATACAAGGATCTAAGACATCTCCAAAGGCCTCATGATGGAAAATGCTATCCATATCCAAAGAATGAACTGTGGAATTCACACAATTTGTGTGAATTGCTATTTTTTTTTCTATTCTGTTGAGTTTTGTTTCCTCTTTCTGGTGGTTCCTCCTATTGGTTCTAATTTTTACTTACAACATCACTAATGTGAAAATATGTTTAATAGAAATGTATATGTATAGCCTATATCAGATTGTGCTCTGTCTTGGGGAGGGTGGTGGGGAGGAAGGGGGAGAAAAATTTTAAACTCAAAAGCATATGGGAGTGATTATTGATAAATCAAAATAAATTAATAAAAAATTTAAAAAAAAAAAATTGATACTTGTCAATGGTGATGCTGGAGGACTTTTGAGAGTCCTTTGGACAGCAAGGAAGTCAAATCAGTCAATACATAAAGAAATTAATTCAGGCTATTCATGAAAGGTTAAATACTGAAGCTGAAGCTTAACTACATTGGTCACATAATGAGAAGATGGAACTCATTGGAAAAGATCCTGATGTTGGAAAAGATTGAAGACAAAAGAAGAAGAGGACGAGAGAGGATGAGATGGATAGAGTGTTATGGAAACAAGGAACATGAGGTTGGACAGACTTTGGGAGATAGAGGATAGAAGCAGTCACTAGGAGTCAAACATGACAGGTCAGCTGAACAACAACCAAAATCTGAGAAGGAAAGGACCTCAGAGATCTGATGTTTTGCAAAAGGAAACAGGCGCAGACAGGAGAAGGGACTTGTCCAAGGTCACGTGTGGTGAACCCACATAGGCCATCTTTCTGAAGATCTGGGGCGCTTTCCATAACATCTCACTGGCTTTATCTCACTCCAGAGGGAGGTTGCTTCTTCAGGGAGAGACCTAGCCTCTGCCATCTCAGAGCTTCTGATCTGATGAGATTGACCAATGAGAGTTTCTACAGTAACAGGGAGGCACAGAATGCCCAAGAGAATTAGAGAGGAAGAATATCAGAGCTCAAATGGACCTCAGGGACCATTTGGTCCCCAGCCAACCAGGCACCTTGACTCCACTACAGATTTGGCCAATGTTCCTCTGGACTTTGCCTGAAGCCCTCCAGTGAGAACTCTCCTCATGGCTCATTCCATTTGGGGACAACTCCATTTTTCCTCTACCCACATTTGCAACATCTGCTTCCTTCCACAGAGCCATCCCTTTGACAACAAAACATTTTTCAAAATGAAAAAGAGGAAGGAAAGAAAAAATTGGTCAACAGATCAGAAAAAAAAATGTTATATGCAGTGTTCCCCACTTATAGACTCATCTTTGCAAAGCAGCAGGAAAGAGGTGTCTTCTCATATCTCTTCTTCAGGGCTAAAGTTGTTCTTATGATTTTTGCAAGATTCAGATTGTATTGTTTTATGCTTGTTGGTCTCAACAATTACATTGAAAATTGAGTCTTTAAGTATTTTGTTTTCCTGTCTTGGCTAGGATAAAATCTAATAACATAAATATTTCTCAGGTCAGCCAATCTTGTCCTTAAGTAAGCAAAGTAAACAAGATTCTTTGTTATCACTATTACCCTTTCTAAATCTTCACTAATCATCCCTTTAATAGTATGATGGAGAATTTTCCCAGAAACTAAAGCCAAACTCTTTGAGCTATAGTTTGCACATTCTAGTCCATTCCATTCTTCCTTCCTTCCTTCCTTCCTTCCTTCCTTCCTTCCTTCCTTCCTTCCTTCCTTCCTTCCTTCCTTCCTTCCTTCCTTCCTTCCTTCCTTCCTTCCTTCCTTCCTTCCTTCCTTTCTTCCTTCCTTCCTTCCTTCCTTCCTTCCTTCCTTCCTTCCTTCCTTCCTTCCTTTCCTTCTTTCTTGGTGAAAATTGGGACACTTATCTCTCCCAGTTCTGATATTCCCTTCCCTTACATTCATTATCTCATTTTATCTGCCACAAAACTCTGTGAGTTAGGTGCTATTATTGTTCCTCTGTTAAAAAAAAAAAGAAGAGTGGCACCAAGTCCCCAGGGTTTCTGCAGTAGAGAGAATGAGATCATGCATGTAAAGTACTGTGAAGTGGTTGAAGTGCTGTACAAATGCTAGCTACAGTCACCATTATTGTCCTCGTTGTCTTTCCTTGCAGGGCTTTGAGGAATCATCGCCAGCACTGAAATAACTGGGGGGTGGGGTTGTCGCGCTGACACCATCGTTCTTGTTTAGGCAATTAGTCGTGTTGGATTCATCATGACCCTTTCTGGGGTTTTCTTGGCAGAGATAATGGAGTAGTTGGCCATTTCCTTCTCCAGTTCATTTTTACTGATGAAGAAACTGAGGCAAACAGAGTGCAGTGACTTGCCCAGGGTCACAGCTAGTAAGTGTCTGAGGCCAGATTTGGACTCAAGTCTTTCTGACTCCAGAGCCAGTTCTCTATTCACTGCTCCACCTAGTTGCCTGCTAGGCTGCTACCAGTGACCTTAAAAAGACCATGGAGAATGGCAAAGGAATGTTAAATGCACTATCACTGTCAGTTTTTTTGTAATAATAATAATAGCTAGCATTTATATAGTGCCTTAAGCTTTGCAAAGTTCTTCACTAGTATTATCTCATTTGACCCTCAAACAACCCTGGGAGGCAGGTGTCATTATCTCCATTTTATAGGTGAGGAAACTGAGGCAGACACAGATTAAGTAACTTGTGCAGGATCACAGAGCTAGAAAGAGTCTAAGGCAGGATTTGAATTCAGGTCTTCCTGATTGTAGGTTCAGCCCTATATCCATTGTGCCACTGAACTGCCTGCAAGAATTAGAGTGAAGAAGTGAAGAAAGTATGTCCAGAAATGACTGTGATATAATAACAAAAACGTATAAGAAAAAAGAACCAACTAAGTTAGCGGATAAGTTCCCTTTGCAACCCCATTGTTCTCTTTTAACCACTTCCCTTTTGTTCCCCTTCCTCTTTGGAATTGTTCCTCTTTCTATTTTCAAATTTCATTCTCGAGGGCTTCTCACTCCTCCTGGTCTGACTTCTCTGGCAGGATTTGGGGCCATGGATTCCTTTCTTTGAACCTTTGGAAATGTGCTTTCCACAAATGGATGGTGAATGTTGGCCAACACTCAGCCTTTCCCTCCCTCTCACAGACTCTAAGTTGGACTTAACTTTCTCTCAGCTCCCATTATTCTGTTTCCATGAATAGTTCCTCTTTTGTTGAGGACAATGTTTAGAAAAGCCATCCCCCCTGCCAGTTCTTCTCTTTTTTGAAGTGTAAGGGAGACCATTCCTCTTCTCACTTCAATTAATACCATCTTAGAAGGCCCCAAAAGTTATCGGCTTAAAGGTAGGAGTTTTCTTCTCTTA